TACAATTGCAAAAAGTGATCATAGGGGTCTATGAAATATAGACAATGGTTAGTGATGGTCCTGCTTTGATCTGAACAAATCCACTTACACTAGGAATACAGCATGGCGTTCCACTCCTTGGACTTCTAAGAAGGACAAAGTCAAATAGGCCTTTATTCAAAGAATGAACACAAGACGGGAGGGCACCTTAAAACCACCTGAAACACACCTGATGAGAATGTACATTGGCACAATGTGTTGGAGCACAACTGGACAAAATGTACCAAAAGTCTTTTTTCCCCTTATTTACTCATTTATTTTTTTTCCTTTTTTTATAAGCATATTCATTATTATAAATTATAATTTTCCTTTATGCCCCTTACCCAACCTGTCACTCCCCAACACCCCTGCCTCCCACCTCCCCCAACACTAGCATCCTTAGATTTGTTCTCTCCTCCTGAAAGTTCAATGTATTATTGTGGCTCTTTCTTCCTTCCTTCCTTCCTTTTTCTTTCTTTCTATAATTCTTTATTTACTCATTTATAGTAACAGCTTTATTAAGAATATAATTCACACACCATAAAATTCATCCTTTTAAGGTATACAATTCAGTGGTTTTTAGTATATTCACAGAGTTGTGCCACCATCACAACTTTCTTATTTTAAAATATTTTCATTAGCCCCCCAGAGAAACCCATTCATGGTCATTCCCCAGTGCTACCTCACCCAAGCCCTGGAAACCACTAACCTACTTTCTGTCCCTATATGGCTTTACCTACTCTGAACATTTCATGTAAATGGAATTATGCATTATGTGGCCTCTTGTTTGTGACTTCTTTTACTTGGCATAATGTTTTCAAGGTTCCTCCATCTGCAAACAGAGATAGTTTTACCTCTTTCTTGGCCAAATGATACTTTATTGCATGAATATTGTTTATTGTTTATCCATTTATCAGTCGATGGACATTTGAGTTGTTTCCTGCTATAAACGAGTATACAATTTTTTGTGTACATATATGTTTTCATTTCTCTTGGGTACATATCTTGGAATGGGATTGCTGAGTCATATGAGAACTATATGTTTAACCTTCTGAGTAACTGCCATACTCTTTTCCAAAGTGACTACATCAGTTTTACAATCTTATTAGTAATGTAGGAGGGTTTCAGTTTCTCCACGTCTTTGTCAACACTTATTATTATCTTTATTTTTGGTTATAGCCATGCTACTGGGTATAAATTAGTATCTCATTGTGGTTTTTTATTTGCATCTCCCTGATGGCTAATGATGTTGAGCATCTTTTAATGTGTTTATTGGCCATTTGTATATTTTCTCTGGAGACATGTCTATACAAATCCTTTGCCCATTTTTAAATTGGGTCAGTTATCTTTTTATTGTTCAATTTTAAGAGTTCTTTACATATTCTAGATACAATGCTCTTATCAGATATATAATTTTTAA